AGCACACCACTGCCTCCTTTAAGGATGGAGGGAGCACCCCATCCTTCAGAAAAGCTGACATCACCATATAGACCCAACTACGTGTCACCTCCCAGGCAGCCTTGACAACCCAGGAGAGATATGGGTCTAATAAAGAGGTGGCTGGGCTCACAACCTAAAGGACCCTGTCCACTTCATCACAAGTCATAGGTTTAAACTCATCCTAGGTAAACTCATAAGACCATGCCCCAACATAGCTTTCAGTCTTAGCATTTCTTAGTGGTCTCCCATCTAAGCTTAAGAGCCCTGATTAGCCAGGTACCGCTACCTGTAACAGTGTATCTCTTTAAAAATCTTAAAGTACTATGTTTTTAAGGAGTTATGTAACAGTTTTGGTATAAGGTAAACTAAATGTTTGTGTTGTCTAGCTGCCTGATTGGCATTTGCAGAACAGTTAAAATGGGCCTGGGGATGCCAAATTTAGAGAAGTATAAATATTATTTTAGCTCCCATATTGGTTTGGGAGTGTGAATTATCTAAATGTGAAGCCAACAAATATATATATTCCTGAAGCCTAACCTTGTTGGATTTATTTATATATTTAGTTTTGTCTTTGAGTTAGTCTTAACTCCTAGCAACAAGTCCATGCAGTTTTACTGACAACATTTTCTAAAGTGGTTTGCTATTTCCTTCTTCCTAGGGCTGAGAGCGAATGATTGGCCCAAAGTCACCCAGTTGGCTTCCATGTCTAAGGCAGGGCTACAACTCCCAGTTTCTAGCCCATTGCTTTTAACAGTTACACCAAACTGGCTCTCAACTTTGTCGGATAAGGTTTATTTTATCTAGATCCTACTTAGGGATGTGATGTCCTTTGCTTCTTCACTGAACTGCTATCTTTGGGCCTTGAAACCTGTATGTTATTTTATTTCACAATCTGTTAGAGACTTGGTTGATCAGTCACCTAAAATTCATGTGAGCATCCAGTCCATGATTACACTTGTTAGTCCCTACTACTTTTTCCTGTCAGGTTGGTTACTTGGATTTTAAGTATGAAAAAATAGCAGTTACCTTTTTCCTGTGTAAACAGGAACAACATGGAATAAACAATTGGGCAACTCTGGCCCACTGTTCTGAAAATCTATTTGAAAATAATTTGGGGAAGTGATATTCAGAAATAATCTGAATGGCAGCTAATCTTTATAAGGAATGTCTGTCACTCAGCTGCATACTATGGTCCTAGGATCTATTGGCCTATCAAGGTTCTTTAATATATGTATATAGAACAAATTTATGTATATTTACAGTGCTTTTTAAAAGTGAATTTGAACAGGAATTTGTCAGATTTTTGTAGTAATAAGAGGAAAGACTCTGAACCCAGCCAGTTAAAGAGACTTTATTCCAATTCATTTCAAAATATTTGAAAAGAATACATTTTCAGAATTGACTTTGAATACAGGCACACACAACTGAACTTGGTACTAATCTGCCTACTTTCCACAAAGCACCTTATCAAAGTATTAGAAAATACTGATTTTCACTTTTATTTCTTACTAAAAGTAACAATCTGAGTGTTGAGGGACTGATATCAAGATGTTTTAATATAGCCTGGAAAATAGAATAATAAAACAAGTCATCAGCATTACTTCTTGAAGGGCTTCATGCAAACATAATGAAGAATATGGCAAGGATAAAAGCAACAGGAGTCTTTTGCCTGGTAGTTTTGCAGGAATAGTTTGGTCTATTGTGGCATGTGCTTCTGTGCAATACTTCAGTACAGATAACAGGTGATCCCTGTCAGGAAAAGAGTTCAAGAACAGCATTGTAGCTATTTGAGAGTGCAGAAGATATAAATCCTTCTCATAGTTTGAAATACTGCCTGTCTCTCTCTCTCCTGCTAGCAAAAAGAACTCGCTTTGAAGTTGAAGTTTTACCTCTAAAGTAATGAGGTTACTATGTGATGAAGCTCTTTTCTGAAAATTATGTTATAGTTAAATATGAAAAGATACTTAAAATAGTCATGGAACACTTGTTGCTCTTCTGTTAGTCCTCAGGTTATGACTACTCATTCAGCAAACATACAAAACTATGACAGTACTGAACAAAACCAGTCCTCAAAGTTGCAGCCGTTGCAGTGTCCCCAGTCACGTGATCACAATTCGGGTGCTTGGCAAACAGCTCACAATTATGACGGTTGCAGCATACCACAGTCGTGATCACCATTTGCGACCTCCCTGCCAGCTCCCAACAAACAAAGTCAGTGGGGAAGCCTGTAGGTGGTTGCAAGTTGCTCCCACCGCTTTTTTGCCTGCCACTTTTTCGCCCGTAGTGCTCACCCACAGCACTTACCCACCCATGCTTCGTAGCACTCACCCATGACACCCACCTGCCTGCCTGTAGCTCTCATCTGCTGGCCTGGGACTCCCACATCTTCCCATGTCGCGGTCACGTCACTTAATGATCCACACAGTCCTGGGGTTATGACAGCAGCCAGGATTGCTATTGCTAAACGATACAGTCACATTATGTTGTGCTTTACGACCACATCACTTAGCAACGGAAATTCTTGTCTTAATTGCCATAACCTGAGGACTTCCTGTAGAATAGGGAGGTGTGAATTGGGCAAGTGGGGAAGGAGAGAATCCTCTAGTCACTGGAACTTTATGCAAGACAGCACAGACATGACAGTATTAAAAAAAAAAAATCAGTTTTTGCATTTTGACATTTTAATCACCAGAAAGGCAGCACAGTGTATGAAAGCTTTATCTGTCATACAGATTTGGGGTTAGGGAATGGACACCAGCTGCACCCTCTGAAAGATAGGTGGTGACAGAAGAAACTTCCAGGTTGCTACAATTCATGCATTTCTACCATCACAGCACTTTATCTTAACCAGTGAAGAAGGTATTAACAGCTGCATACCAAAGTAGATCTGATATACTTTAACAATAGGGATTCTAGGTTGCTCTTTTCTGTTGCAGATATCTTCCACACAACAAAATGCTTTCATCACATGAAACTGTCTTGGCATGGGGAATCATGTGAGATTGTTTTTATTCTCTTTGTGAAATACTTAATTAGGTGCAATCTTTTCACCAGCTGCCAGTCACCACCAATTTCACTAACAAAATGAGGAGATCTGGGGTCCAGGGATGAGATTTGGTAAAAGAAAAAAAAAAGTACAACAGTGTGTCCTGCTTTTTCCCAACTTCCTTCTGAAAGCTCTTTTAAGATTTCTAAATGCTCTTTGAAAGTTGGCCTTCTGAGAGTTCTTTGAGAACAGCTGTTCAATGAAATTGAGAAATTTAGCAGAGGAGTGGGCAGTGCACATCTTGCTACGCTGTAACTTTTGATCACCAGTGTTGTAAGCCGGATTTCCTCCATGTTCTCTGTATTAGACTACAGCACCAATCATTCCAAACAGACCTGCATGTCAGTACTGATTGGGAGGATGGTAATTGTAGTCCTATACACCTGGCCCAGAGGAAGGCTGACTGTTTTTTCCTGCCCTTCATTGAAAGGTTTTGGCAGGATTGCTACTCCAACCCATTCCCATTTTATTCAGTCCAACCCAATGAAATGTTGGAAATCAATTATCTGAATGGGCTCAGGACTCTGTCAGCAGGATTATTCTCCAAAACTGATGAGAACTCAGACAAAGTTGGCGTAGGGGGAGAAGCCAACAACAACAGAAAGATCAGGTCCAAAAGTGGGCTGGGGAAAAGAAAATTCAAGGGAAAAAAATCCCCCATTACTCTATATTCATGTGGGAGAAGCAGTTTGACTGTGGATTGGAATGTTGCCAGCTCCTCCATTCTAAGGCCCCCTTTCTTCTCAGTCACATGACCCAGAATTGGAGCTATTATTAAGGGGCTGGTAAGAATTCCAGAAGCTATACTTTATATGTAGTTTCTGCCTTGTTTCTTTTTTTCCTTCAGGAAAGATGTTCTTTTTATATGCCAAGAGTTCTGCTAAAAACCCTCTTCTGAACACTATGTAGTCTGTAATTTTGAGGAAAACACTGCTGCTATGAAAAATATTTATTTGCTTAGCTATATTTGCTGCTTCAACTCCAATGTCTGTTATAGCCTTTAACCAAGCTGCAGACTCAGAATATATAAGAGCTAGGACAAGTAATAATTTTGCTCAAAGCAACTTTCAGTGTGTGTCAAGACTCAAAGTCCACCTTCTGAGTTGGGTGGGGAGGGGACAATGAGCATGATCAACATCAAAAGAATTCATTGAGGAGCCTAACTTCTCTTCAGTGCCCAGACTATTTTAATTCAAATGGCAGGAAGTGATTATTGGAATTTCACCTTCTTTTGGGGAAGGTGGAGGGGAAGAGGAAGAAAGAATTCTCAATCTCTTCATATTGGATTTGAAATAAGAACTTGTGAAAGAGGTTATTAATTATGATCCTGCATCCTATGTAATTTATGAAAATTAAGCCAGTATGCATTTTTATTTGCACAATATGCAGTTTTTTCTCTCCTTGTTAGGGAAAGAACAAACAGCTGCATCTGACCAACTTTTCAGAAATGTAGGTTTGTAGGATTTCAGTTACTATTGCCCACAAGCTGCTAAGCATTTAAAATCTGTTCTGCCTTACAGAATACTGGCCAAAATTCCCCTTCAAGTTACATGGGCTTTTATTATTTTGAAAAGTTTTCATAATGCTTTTTTTCTGGTATTAATAATCTAAAATTCCTTAAATTATTTGTATTCCATCTTCCCAAGTTACTGGCTAGACCAGGTCAGATGTCTTCCCTTGCCGAAGATTAGATAAATCAGTCTAAATGAAGAAAATGCAGCATATTTATTAATATTATATAACTATTCTGAATTATGTATGAAAGGGAAGGCTTCTGGAAATCTGTATGAAGCCACCCTTAGTGTCACAATAAATGAAGGGATATAAAGTAAATGGAAGAAAAGAAATAAATACAATAAATTCAGAAGTACTGCTTTTGATTATGGATTTAACCATGTGATAATGAATATCATTGGTTCATTTTTTATTTCAGGTTCATGTTGGGAAAGGGTTTGAAACGCAAGCTGAGTGATTATGAAGAGAACATGGCTGGTGTGTCAAGTGCCTTTGATTCCAGTCGAAACCTGCCATACCCACTCAAGCGTCAGTTGGTGCTCAATGTTTGCCTTGCCAAGTTACAGACATATAAGATGCTGGTGGAACCAAATTTACATCGTTCTGTGCTTATAGCCAATACTGTCAGACAAATCCAAGAGGAGATGAGGCAAGAAACTAGCCAACAGCCTGTTAACATGTGTGGTGGTTTAAGTACCACCCCTTCCAATTACCTAGGTTTTGATTTGTTTGGAATGCCTTCACACTTTTTGCCTGGTATTAATCAACAGGAATCATATGGTTATGAACCACGGTCTGTGGAAAGTCCAATTGAAAATAGCTTGTTGATGGTTTCAGATAATGACATGTCATCAGCCATTTCCTCTATTCTAAAAGATTTGGACTTCATGGAAGATGTGAGTCCACCTACTTACTTGGCTGGATCTGGAGATGATCAGTTCAAGACTTCTGAAATGTCAGTTCTTAAATTAGAAGAAGATAGACAAGACTTGAAAGGAGTAGAATGTGCTTTTGGTTCCTTTGAAATTTCAAATTCAACTAGTTACTTGAAAGACTTGGCTATTGATGACATATTTGAAGATATTGACACTTCAATGTATGATTCAGACTTTGACTGCCCCTCACCCACTCCTCCGAGAACACTATCTGTGGCAACAACAGAAGAGATGTTGAAGACATTCCCTTCTTGCAATTCTTCCTCAGCAAGCAACATCCCAATATGCAGAAGTGATATCACTGATTTAGACCATATTATGGAAATTTTGGTAGGGTCCTGACACTTTTACAAGTCCAAAGATACTTTTTCCTAAGCTGCCATACGATGCTGGTTTGAAGATAAGCCACAGAAGGGAGTGAACTTCAAAGTGTTATGCCAAAATGGCAGCTGCAGTCATTTTCTTTAATGGTTCTCAAAACCTCCCTAAAATTCATATAAACCAAAAAAAAAAAAAGTGACAGCCTGTTATATAAAATGGAGTATTTATTAAATCAATTGTGCAATCTTTTTAGCCCTTTTAGGATATACATGAGGAGTGTATCTCATGTGTTTCTTGTTTATTCCTACAAATCTTACTTTTTAATGTGCAATTTTTAATCTGTATGAAGGATTTGCAGAACAGCAATTTTCATAAGAGGGGAAACATCATCTGAAGTCTAAAGATTTATTTTTAGTATTAAATTACATTCTTTATTGGCATTCACTGAAGTTGCATACTTGGGTTTGCAGCCTCAGTGCAGTATATTTTTTAAAATATTTAAGGAATTACAGATCTCTTCCCTTTTACTGAAGACTCTAGATGTTTGGCAGCAAAATCTCTTGCATTTTGTAAAACATTTAAAACTATTTATTTTTGTAAATTTTATAGTCTTTTTACATTTTATTACAATGTTCTAGTTTGGAGATGAATTTCTGGTTGGATGTGGCTGGCACTACCTCTGTTAGCAGAAATGCTTTAACTCTTTTCAGTGCTTTGTCTAACACTGCAGATCTTTTAGTTTTCTTGGATATTTCTGGTGGTAGAAGCAAACACAGCAATTTGCTGATTGGTTAAATTTTATGGTATTTAACTGTAATTTATATGTATATTGTCTGATTTTAGAACTTTGTCAGTATTATGTGCATCAATCTGGGGGTAATATGACTTTTTAAAATTTAGTATTTTCTGTATAGCTAGAGCTATTTTAATTCTCTGAAACAGAATTTTAGATTTTATGTGCAATATATCACTTAAACAGGCCACTTTTGCACACCCTGTATTATAAGGAAATACATAAAATCTAGATGATGGAAATTGATAATACTAGTGATATCAGAGGTGTATCATCCAATTCAGTCTGCTGGCAGCTCTGTGCAAGATCTGTAAGAGTTGAATATGGCTTGCCTAAGCACCGCTCTGATTTTGCACATTTCCGTTCCTTAAAATGGAATTTTAGTTGTCCAAAGTGCTTGCGATGGATTGTATCTTCTTAGTGGCAGTTTTTATCTTGGTTTGGCCAAATAAAGTTCTAATTGAGTTGAAGCCCAGGAAATCATCCTGCCATTAGAGGCTTACATCTGCCTACAAGAATTATACTTCAAATTACAGAAATAGTTTTTTTTTTTACATAAGATAGGTTTGCCATTTGCACATAATATGCTGAAGTATTCAGTCCATTGTGTATAAATCCTGCCCTAGCTCAACTTTGGTGCGACTTGGCAGGCTGTCCAAGTGCTGATGCCATTTGGGAACATCGTGTTGCCAAAATGGTGACATTCCAACCACAAGCCTCTACTGTTCCGTGATCATAGAAGCAACACCTGCCTACTTTATAGTGAAGATATGTGGCTACTCTGTGTTCCTGTAGTGTAATGTTGCATCACTGAGGAGACCAGTAAGTTTGAAAATGATATAATGAAGCACTCATCAAGCAAGCAACACAACAGGTGTAGATAAAAAAAAAATAGATGGGAGAAACTGAGAGGGAGCAAAAACATTACCATTGTGTCTACTAGCATGTAGACTTTTATGTGTGCATCTGTCCACCTATTCCTCATTCATTTTTTTTCACTGAACAGAATTGCAGCATGAGCTGGAAGTTTGCTAGCATTGGAAGCAAAACATACTTGGTTGTATATTCACAGTATCTGGTTTTTGTTTGTTTAACAAGCAGCAGCAGAAAAAAATTAAATGAAGCCTGTCTTTGAGAACACTAATATTTATACGTAAGCTTTCTAGGAGGATGGGAAGCACTTTTAAAATAGAACTATAGAATATATATTAGCTAACCTTTATCTGAATTGGAGTAGAAGCTGCTCATAGGATGGCCATTTTCTGATGGTAACTTCTGGGCATGGTGATTGAAAGTCCTACGTAACAGGTTGGATCCCTTAAAATAATCTTTTTGGGCTGATATTTACCTCCATTGAGGCCCCCCTTCAGCAATACTGCTATTAAAGCAGCTCATTATGGCATACCAATAGTTGCGCAGATGTGTTATCACCTTCCATTTCCACCTACCATTTTCTTTGGTGTTGGAGCCAATCCACTACTCAACTTGAAGTGCAATGTAATGTGGGTCATCTGATGTAGCTGCTGCATTGAATATGTGTAGCATTGCATTTGGGGGATGAAAGAGAGTTGTCTAGCACTGTTTGAGGCTGAATGCCCAGTATCACTGTAAGAGAAGCAGAGTCAGACATTCATGGTGGGATACTAATACCAGCTGCAGAAACACTAGGAAGGCTTTCTGATTAGCCTTATGCTGAGGGGCTATTCAGGCCTCAAAGACTGCAGCTTAGAGTAAAAACTAGACTATTAACAAAGCAACTAATGTTAGAATATGGTTGTGGCATTGACAGTAGTAGTGATCCCATGGATACATGAAGAAAATAGGTCATCAGGATGTAACAGTGGCTGTTGCTCATTATCATGTATCAGTCTTGTTTTGATTTTTTTTTTCATTCTTTTCACTGTTCAATGGGAATCCTCCAAGCATCAGTGGAATTTTAAGATTTTACCTTACGTTTAATCTTCAGCAAGAATCAAATGCAATCTTTTGTTGAAAACCTGTGATTGTTTCTTTTATTTAGTACTGGTTCTTTACTTTCCACCCAACATGAGTCATGACTGAGCTGGATTCCCCAACTAATGCCAAGTCAATCTAGTTTTATTTGCTTAATGCATACTTTGGCAGTTGAAATGTATTTATATGCATAAGAGATTTGCAGTTACATCTAAATCATAGCAGACCCTTTTGCAAATTATTGTCTATCCTTGATGTAAAAAGGATTAGCTAAAAAGAATGTATAGAGTTTGTGCATAATGCTTCTTTGTATATAACAAAATGAATCCCAAAAATGGTAAGGGCCTTCTGCACTGTGATAAAGCAGACTTGTGGTTAAAAGAATATTTTTAAAAATTCCCTTAATAAATATTTGAATCTAATTTTTCTCATCTACTGGTACAGTTCTTAAGCTTAAAGGTACAAACTTCAAGTATTTAAACTGCACAAGCAATATACTAGTGGCAAGAACATGTACATTGGCTGTCAGCTGTTGATCAGGCATCTTGGAAAGAGTTACCTTATTTTGTGGCTTGAAAAAGGGGTTAGGTTTTATGTACAAGCTTCCCTGGAAGGTAAGGATGTTGATTCTTCCCTAATCATGATTTCATCCCCTTCTCATCTTCAGAATACATCCCAGAGTGGTTTCCAATACTACCTGAACCATTGGCAGGAATAATTCTTGAATGTAGATAGTAATGTCATAAGCGCTGTGCTTTTCACTTTTTCAGGGCACAAAGGCCTCTTGGTCAACCTCTAGTTTCAGAAAAGGAAAGAGGCCCCACTTAATGGTGTTTCTTTTGTGATACAGCTAGTCCCCGGTTTACAATGGAAGTTGGGACCGGAATTTCCGTCACTAAGTGATGTCATAAAGTGTGACGTCACATGACTGCATCGCTTAGCAACAGCAATCCCAGCAGCTGTTGTAACCCCAGGACCATGCGGGTCATTAAGTGGGAAGAGGGGTGACAGGCACTATGGAGCATGGGGTAATGGGGCTCCTCCAGAGAAAAAGCAACAGGAGCGACTTGCAACCTTCCCTGCCGGCTTCCCTGTTAACTTTGCTTGTGAGAAGCCGGCAGGGAAGGTTGCAAATGGTGATCACATGACTGCAGCTTGCTGCGACAACGTAATCACAAGCTGAGCACCCAGCTCACAATCGCATTTGCGGACCAGTCATAAGTCCCCCTTATTCAGCGCTGTTGTAATTTTGAAGAGTCACTGAACAAGTGCTTGTAATCCAAGGGCTACCTATATTGTCAAATCATATTTTGATAAGTTTGGAATAAATAGTATTTTAAATAGCATGTTTTGAAAACTAAGTTCTTGCCACTATTATATTGCTTGTGCAATTTAAATGCTTGATGCTTGTACCTTTAAGCTATCATGCACAAAACAAACATATTCCCTGTGGTGCTGTTCACTACCCTAACAGCTTGCATTAGAATAGGAAAAAGAACTTACAGTGGGTTGCTATTTTAAGCAACACACTAGTGGCAAGAACATGTGCACTGGCTGTCAGCTGTTGACTGGCCATCCTAGGAGGAATGATTCCCTTTAACAAGTGTCAAACATGTTCATGGTAGAACTTTTACTTCTGATTGCAAGTTGCCCAAGATAACATTTGTTACTCCTCTCTTAATTGATACTGGTTGCCATGAGTTTATAGGTTCCAGCCATCTCTTGCATACAAATTTTATGTATAAGTTGTGAACAGTAAGTTTACACTAGACTTCATGCAGAAATTCCTTATTCAAGCCCCATTTTTCCAGTTAAAAGGATCACATAAGATCCCTGTTTGGGTGCCGAAGAATGGCTTTCTTTAAATATGAGCCAGCACAAGAAAGTCACACATTTGGGGAGGTGGGATTTATTTTATTTATATGGCTACCCATCTTAGAGCACAATTCTGGGTGACTCACAACAATAAAACTACAAGCCATAAAAACTGAAACTAAAAAAAAAGTCACCTCAAGCATCTCCTAGGATGCCCTAACAACCATCCATAGGCTCCCAATACTATACCATAATGCCTGGGTAAAGAGGTAGGTCTTGATGGCCTCCTAGAATGCTAAAAGAGTGGGCCCTGCCAGATTGCCAGAGGGAGTTCCATAAGGTAGGGGCAACTATGGTAAAGGCATGTTTTGAGGTCCTTCTACATGGCAGCATTTCAGGGAAGCAGCCTAAAATGCCTATTCTGTCCAATCTGATGGGATGGGCAGATGTTCTCGGGGAGAGGCAGTCCTGCAAATAACCTGGCTCTGTGCCATGTAGGGCTTTAAAAGTGAAGCACCTTGAATTGCATCCAGAAGGAAAATGGGAGCCAGTGCAGCCCTCACAATGGGTGTAACATGGGGAAACCTAAGGGTGCCCAACACTAGATGTGCTGCTGCATTCTGGACCAGTTGTAGCTTCCAGGTGGTCTTCAAGGGCAGTCCCATGTAAGGTACATTGCAGTATTCTGAACAGGAAGTGACCAAGGTGTGAGTGACTGAGCAAGGCCTCCCCATCCAGAAAAGGGTGCAATTGGTGCATAAGACAAATCCCTGTAAGGATGACATATCACCAGATTTTGGGGGGGGGGCAAAAACCCAAAGCAACTCAACCCTGGTAAGACAGAATGACATCACTTCTTGCCCATCCATACCCTCACAGCCTCCAGGCACTCGCTCAGCACCGCAACAGCATCACCTGCCCAGCCCAGGGTGAATGGTATCATTAGCATACTGATGATACTACACCGCATGCTATTGAATGACCTCACCCGATGGTTTAATGTAGATGTTAAAGAGGAGAGATGAGAGGCCCTGAGCCCTGAGCCATCCCTCATTGCAGGGCTAGGGCATGACCTCTCCCCACTACCACCACCGACTGGAACTGGCCATGGGGAAAGGAGAAGAACCACACAAAACAATGTCTTCCACTCCCAACCCCTGAAGCTGCTGCAGAAGGATACCATGGTCAATGGCATCAAAAGCCACTGAAAGATCCAGGAGAGCCAGGTGGGTTGCACCACCCCTGTCCCAAGCCATGCAAAGGTCATCTTCAAGTACAACAAATGCCATCTCGGTACTGTACCCTGGCCTGAACTCAGACTGAAAAGGGTCCAAATAATCCATTTCATCCAGGGCCCTCTGAAGCTATATGCCAACTCAATGAGGGATGACACACGCACAGGTAATCAATGTGACTTCCATACTTGCATCAGAGACAACTCACGAGAATGGCTAAGCTTGTGATAGTTGCAGTGTTACATACAGAAGTCAATACAGACTTGTTAGTTTTGTCAACTTTAGATTTATTAATGTTACAAGCCCTCCCACAGAGGTAGGAACATGTCTGCATAACTTCAACACACCTGTTGCTAAGCAGCTACTAAACCAGGGTTGAAGAACCCTTCCCAAGGTTGCTAATCATTTCCAATGTGGCTGATGGTAAGGGATGCTGAGTTGTAGTTCAGCAACATCTGGAGCCGCACAGGTTCCCACCCTTGTCTTACACAAAGGCAGCTGCAACTTTAACTGAACTATTGCTCTAAAAATGAATGGTAAATACACAAAATAATGTTCAATACGTTTTTCTCCATTAACTGAGAAGAACCTGTGCAGACTGTAAACATAGTAGAGGTTAGACTAGGCTGCATCCATGTAGCATTTGTCCTGGCAGGTCAAAAAAATTCTAGGAGCCACCCAAGCCTTTGATAGTAGTAAGCCAATAGGTGCAGACTAAAAGGCTTCATAAAATTTCTCAGAAGCTTTAAAATATACATTGCAATTATTTTAAAACAAAGGAAAGAAATGACTCTAAAACAAGGGGAAGTTACTGTATTTGAAAGAAAAGTTATCTTAGTGGCATAGAAGAGAGGAGTAAACAATTTCACCCCACCGCAAATCATGGTGACAGAAACTAAGCACATGACTTTCCATAAGAGCAGTAGTGAAAAATCTACTTTAGTACCCATTTCTCAAGATCATGTTCGAATGACAGAGGATATCAAAGGAAAGGAGATGCTGACGTAGCTTGGTACAGCAGCAAGATGTAGAAGTAGAAACCAATTTGAATACAATGGGTTTGTGCCACCTACTCCCAAGAAATGCAACAGCGTGCCCCACATGCCATAGACTTTTCTATACCAAAATTCCTCCTTGGTTCCCTGAAGTTTAATATAAAGGACCTAAACAACTGTTTTTAATGTATGCTAGTTTTAAAAGCCAGACTTCCTGTATGAAACATAGGAAATAGAGTTGTATAGAAAAGATGACAGCAGAGACCCAGGATTGCTTGAGGAAAACCATAACAAGAAGTGAATGCTCCCTTATTTCTGCAGTGCTAACAGAAGCAACTCATTTCAACATACACACACACACACACACACTCCTAAATGGATTTAATCCACTGAGTGTGCCTGCTACTCAACTGTGTTAAAACAAAAATCAGTATTTATTTCCAATGCTATACAACAGGGCAGCTGAGCAACGCAAACCGAACATTTCCAGATTTCTTTCTTTGCAAGTATGTCAGGAGAAGGACCTCTGCTGTACAGGCTTAGCTGTATTACACCTATTTTAGGGTGTACAGTACAGCTTCCAAATATTTCCTGCTTTGGAATGCTGGAAAACCATTTTGTCAATTTTCATCACAACACTCAGGTCACAAAAAGAGGTTCAGGAGCCACAGCTTGCCTCTCTCTATAGAGATATAAGGACAGTTATAAAAAAGATTGAAAAGAGGTAATTCAAATACAAACTTAAGACAGTGGACAATGGGTGGTTACACAAAGTAGTACTTCTCCCTGCCAGGATAGATGGTAAGACTTACTAGTGGAGCTGCAGCTGATTAAACAAAATCAATTGTAACCTAGGCAGGAACATATATACTGTAGGTATCATATCTGTCCAAAAGAGTTTAGAGCAGTGTTGTCCAAACTTGGCCACTTTAAGATGAGTGGACTTCAACTCCCAGAATTCTCCAGCCAGCATGGAGGGGCTGGGGAATGGAGCTGGCTGGGGA